CTCTCTCTCTCTCTCTCTCTCTCTCTCTCTCTCTCTCTCTCTCTCTCTCTCTCTCTCTCTCTCTCTCTCTCTCTCTCTCTCTCTCTCTCTCTCTCTCTCTCTCTCTCTCTCTCTCTCTCTCTCTCTCTCTCTTTCTTTCTCTCTCTCTCTCTCTTTCTCTCTCTCTCTCTTTCTCTCTCTCTCTCTTTCTCCCTCCCTCCCTCCCTCCCTACCTCCCCCCCTCCCCCTCTCCCTCTCTCCCTCTCTCCCTCTCTCCCTCTCTCTCTCTCTCTCTCTCTCTCTCTCTCTCTCTCTCTCTCTCTCTCTCTCTCTCTCTCTCTCTCTTTCTCCCTCCCTCCCTCCCTCCCTACCTCCCCCCCTCCCCCTCTCCCTCTCTCCCTCTCTCCCTCTCTCCCTCTCTCTCTCTCTCTCTCTCTCTCTCTCTCTCTCTCTCTCTCTCTCTCTCTCTCTCTCTCTCTCTCTCTCTCTCTCTCCCTTCCCCTCTCCCTCTCCCTCTCTCTCTCTCTCCCTCCCCTCCCTCGCTCTCTCTCGCTCTTATCCCTCTTAAGGGAACCAGGTTGTTGGAGGAGCGAAGGGGCCGAGGGACGCAAGAGATAGCAGTGGCGAGGTTGTTCAGCGTTTTTTTGCCGAGCGATTTGGGATGCTGCTGATGAATATCGGAGATCGGGAGGAGCTGAAGAGGTGCAATGGCTTCCCTGTAGTGTAACTTGCGACCAAGATGATTCTAGTGGCACGCCTTTGAAGTCGCTCTATTGGTCTCCGCTGGGTGAGGGTTAGGCTTGATGGGCACTCGGGAGATGCATGTAGGAGTTGAAGAAGAATGAAGCTTCTGTAGATGTTGTAGAGTTCGATAGTGGTGTGCCTAGGGACCGCAAACGACGCGTCATATATAGCCTCTAGGATGCAGATTTGATGGCCGAGACTACATGTTTGTTCCAGTTCTGCTTGTATATTGTAACCTCCTCGCCTTGTAACCTCTGATGTGTGGTTGCCGAGACTAAGGGGGGTGGGGGGTGGAGTTGTTTCGACGAGGTCAAAATGCATCACGACAGTTTTGTTGTTGCCGATGGTTGCTTGGTTGTTTTCGGTCCAGCTGATGAGTCTGGTGAGGGTTATTTGGTGATTATTGTAAGCTGGTTGTTGGTTGCTCATTTCCGAGGCTATCGTGGGATCATCCACATACTTCCACCGTTGTCGAGTATCAGTGAGTGCATTGATGATGACAAGGAAGGCGAGAGGTTCGATTTTTGTGCCCTGTGATAAGGGAGGAGCTAGATCCCTGGAAGCAGATAGACTGTCGTTAGTCTGTGAAGAGGTCTGCTGCCCGAGGGAAGAGGCCGAGGGAGGCCGCTTTGTAGATGCCTATCATGTAGTCCACGAGGTCGAAGTTGTGCTGAGGGTTTTCTCTTTTCTAGTGATTGGCAGATGTAGTAGAGGAAACTAATTAGGCCTTGTGAGGTAGAGCAGGATCGGATGTTGCCGAACTGTTGTGAGTCGAACATTGGTGCCAAGTCAGCGCAGGCCCATTGTGCCCTTGACTCTCGCATACGAGGCTGGGGAGCGTGGTGAGGGTGATGGGTCGCAGGTCAGAGAGTGATGCTGGATTACCTACTTTGGGGACTGGAGTGACATATCCGATCTTCCGGAAGCTGGGGCTATTTGATTGATGGTCGTGTGTGTGTGTGTGTGTGTGTGTGTGTGTGTGTGTGTGTGTGTGTGTGTGTGTGTGTGTGTGTGTGTGTGTGTGTGTGTGTTTCTCACCAACGGGTCAAAATCTTAATGTTCATTGTTCGTCAGTACTATTCATTATATAAACAAATATTTTAACAAATAATTTAGTTGATGAAAGACTTCTTTCTACACTCCTTATAAATCCAGTTATACCTTTTGTCTTTAACAATGGTAATGAAGACATAAATGATGTAATTTGGGTGGTTCAGATGATGAAAATTGCTGGGCCATTTTCACGGGACGGCAGATGTTCGCTCATGAGAAGAGAGAAGATATTACTCTTAAATTTACCTTTATTTCCTCTCCAGGCTGGTTTCACGGAACTTGGCTTTGGCTCCCGGATATCTATTACAAGAGGCTTCCTTTCAAAGATTTCACTATTATATTCGTACACTGTTCTTCAACTTTTTTTTTTATTATTTTCAGTTTGGTGTCTCTTGTAACGCCCTGTAACTTATAACTTCCGGCGTGTGGTTGCCGAGAATAAGGGCGGGGGGGGGGGGGGGGGGGTGTTCTCGGCGAGGTGTGTGTGTGTGTTTGTGTCTGTGTCTGTTTGTATGCATGTGCGATCCATACTTTCGAAAAGTCTTTACAGTCTTTCCGAAACAAATGATATACAAGAGATATTAATTATTCGTCGCCGTTTTTCTTTTCAATCTTTTGCCCCCCCCCCAAAAAAAAAAAAAAAAAAAAACTCAAATAAACAAAAAAAAAACTCTTTCTTATTCTTTTCCTCTATTATTTCTAACAGCTCCTTCTCCCCCAACAG